CGGGTGTATACAATCGGATTACAAATGAACAAGATCAAGCGCTAAACGAATACACCTCTCTTGACGTAACATCTATCTAAGAGATGAACACCTACCTGTAGAAGGAGTCCCACGGGAGAAAGGATGAAGAACAGTTGTTCAACCTAGAGACTGAGCACACCACACATATTCACTTGAATCGAAAACTCACTCGTTGTAATTTTTATCGCTTCTAGCCTACACTAGGTTTCAAAAGCCCATTTTTCCTTCAGAGCTAAACAGCTCTCTGGGCTGGATTACATGTAACTCTCAGACTATTTGTTTGAAATATATGATTGTTCAATTTGCTAGAGTAGCGTTTAGAGTCAACTCTTAAGTAGAAATATTAGCGGTTTGGGAATCGGGGATTTTGAAAACTGATGAATTGGGAATAAGGTCTTCGATTAACTTGGTCCAATGTTTGAAATGCTCAATAGACAACATATTTAGGAATAGAAATATATCGATTAATCTGTTAATGTTAATCGATTATTCAGTAAGCCAATATTCGGTATGGGAACCCGAAGAATCAACTCAAGTTTAATCGATTAACTGGGCATTTAATTCGATTAATCGAGCTAAGTTATATCGATTGAGTGAGATTGTAAATCGAAATTATATAGTTGGGAAATAGGTCGGAGCAAGTGCATGTGATTGATCTACTTTATTTATAATCGACTTATTGTTATCTAAATATTAACTTATTTTTAGTTATTTATCTCAAAACTGAGTTTTTAAAGCCTTTAAAGAGTGGACTATGTGCGATTATCTTAGATTCTAATATCACTAAGTCACAAATCATTAAAAACGAGTTACTACATAATATTACAAGTCTTCAAATATTTAAGTCTTGTGTATTCTTGAATCCATTGATGCAAAATCAACAATAGCTTCAACTTATCCTTGTTAATATCTTTAACATTCATATAAGAACCATTGTTAAATGCTTTCAAACGAAAAGACTTACATCCTTACCTTGTCATTCTTCCTCAAAAGTCTTAAATCCTACGGGAACTGAGGGTCCTCGATTAATGAGGTATGTTGTTGTATTCATTATTTCTGCTGAGAATGTCTTTTGTAACCCTGCATGAATTCTCATACTTTTTGCCCTCTCATTCAAAGTCTTGTTCATTCTTTCAACAATATCATTCTGCTGAGGTATCTCAGGAATAGTTTTAAGAATTCTAATTTCATTCTCAGCACAGTAATCAACAAATTCAGTACTACTATATTCATCACCATTATCAAAATTTAAACATTTGGCTTTTAACCCTGTCTCATTCTCAACAATGACTTTCCAATTCTTAAAGGTATTAAATACTTCTGATTTTTTCTTCAAAAAATAAACTCATACCTTTCTAGTGGAATCATCACTGAAGGTGACATAGTATCGTGATCCTCTCAATGATGAAACTGATGTTGGCCCATACACATCTAAATGAACAAGTTCCAACTTCTCTCCCTTGAGCATCCTCCCTGACTTTGCAAAAGTAACTCTTTTCTGCTTTTCAAACACACATGGTTCACAGAAACCAACTTCTATCTTTTCCAGTTCTGGAATCTTTCCCTTTGAGACTAGTATCTTCATACCCTTCTCGTTCATGTAACCAAGCCTTTGGTGTCACAAAGTTGAAGAATGACCAAAATCATCACCAACATATCATTAATTGAATTTACTTCTTCTATAGGTAATTTTTCTATGTATAGGATTCTTTTCTTCCAACCACGAGCAACAATTAGATTACCATTCACCACATTCCATTTGCATTCTTCGAATATGACTCGATATCCTTGAACATCTAACATACCTACAAAGATTAACATTCTCTTAAGTCCTAAAATATATCTGACATCCTTCAGAGTCCATACTATACTCGTAAATGTTTTAAGATTTATATCTTCCATGTCTGTGATGTCTAAAGTTTCATCATCTGCTAGACGCACTTTGTCAAAACTTTCACTTTTGAAATTTTTCATCAAGTTCTTGCAAGAAGAAGCATGAAAAGATGCATCAGAATCCATGATCCAGGATTCAAACTTGATCTTAACACAACAAATCAACGCATCATCACTGTCTTCTTCTGCTACATTTATTGTATTGTCATGCCTCTTTTCTATAGGAGTAATACACTGATTCCTAAAGTGTCTGTTCTGCTGACAATTCCAACAAGTAATATACTCATGAGATTTGGACTGTCTTTGCTCCTTGGACTTTGATATATTACGTCTAGAGCCTTGCCCTCTTTCAGGCTTTCTACCTCTCCCTTCGGTGCTTAATAAGGAATTTATTGATTCTTCTGCATTCATTCTATTAACATCCTCATTAAGAATTAAATCCATAATTCATTCAATGGTTAATTTCATAGTCCCAGATGTATTGGCTACAACCGTGACAGTTTTTGACCAACTATCAGGCAACAAAGATAATAATAACAGGGTTTATACTTCATCATCAAATTTAATATCTATTGACACTAATCTTGACAATAAGGAATTAAATTCATTCACATGATCTGTAACACTAACACCTTTTCGCAACTTCGTATTAACTAATTGACGAATCAAAAATACCTTATTTAATGTTGATGACTTCTCGTACATGTTTGATAATGTTTTTATAAAATCAAATCATATGTCGTCTTCTCATTGATGATATTGTAGGCAACATTCTTCACCAATGTTAATCTAACAACTCTCAATCTACCTGAGACATTGTTTCTAGTTTATTATCAAACAAAGGCTGGTACAACTTTTTCTGATAAAAATAATCTTCAATCTGCATCTTCCAAAATATGAAATTACTTCCATTGAACTTTTCAATCTTCATTTTCCCGTCTTCAGCCATTGTTCCCACTCGCATGAAAAAAACCTAATTTACGTAGTTCAGTCAAAGTGACTTACATCCACGACTGCACCAGATGATAGTTTTCATTCACACAATTAGGTAGAGATTGCAAAACGGGTCAATCCATCCCATTTTGGCCCACTATAGTCATGACGTTTGGCGCTATAGTCATGGCGGGTTGACCAGTCATATTTCTTATTTTATTTTATTTTATTATTTTTAAATCAAATCTTTCAATAAATTTAATAATAAAATTATCATTGTCAACAATTCAATATATATATATATATATATATATATATTTCAAGTTAATAATATAAATTGATATATTATTTTAATAAATTATATTTTAGAACAATTAAATTAAGATAAAATTTATATAATAATAAATACATGTATAGTAAAAATTTATTAAATCTTTATTTTTTATATTGAAAAGTTTAAACATTTAAATGAAAATTAGTAGTAAGATATTGAGACTTTATGAATTATCTTTGTAAGACATTGAAACTTTTAGAATTCTCCTTTCATAAATTTTTATATTATATATTGTCATTTCGACTCTTTGTATTGTATCGTAATAATAAAAATTATTAATAAAGTGGGTCGTGGGTTGGCTCGACGGGTTGAGGAGTAGGCGGGCCAAAACAGACTAACGGACTAAAAGTACTAACTCGTTCCGCCATATTATGATGGGTTGGCGGACCTATTGACCTGACCAGCTTGTATCCTACAGTTATATAAATATTTATTATAAGAGAATAAGTAAATGAGTCGACATACTAACTTTAGACTCACATTATTAACGTATTTCATTATTAAATCAATTCTTACATCAAAAATTACATTCTGGCTAAATACGTTATACGTTAAATATAATTAATAAAAATAAACAAACAAACTATATACATCATATTATTATTTTTGTTTCTATTAAATCCACGAAATTTCAAAACAAATTATAACTTGATAGAATTTTACCAAATTGTTATCATAGATGACATTAAAATTTTCCGTCTGACCCAAGAGTACCTAATTAATTTGACATGTAGTAACACTTTATAAGGATACGTTTACTTAACTATACTTAAATATTTATAAAAGAATATAAAAGGAGATTAGAGAGTTATAAAAAATATGTTTACTTTTTAATGTTTTTGTTATGACGATATAGTGATGAATCGTCATAATCGTCATGATTGGTCATGAAATCGTGACTAAGGAAATAATGATGATTTGAGTTGGTTCTATTTCGGTCACTATTTTAGTTAGTAACCGATTTTGATCATTTAGTGACCGAAAATTGGGTCACTATTTAATGTTTTTATTGTAGTGAATGGTTCTATTGATATACAAATATGAATTTTTTTTTAAGAAAAAATCATATGAAAAAAATGTTTCAAACATGTTATTGGTAATAACATTTTTGAAATACTGTTGTTATTGTATAAATGTTGCTAAAGATCATTAACACAAGATCATTAAAGATGTAACTTTAGATCAAATTTGGAAACTCGGAATGTTAATAATAACATATTTTGTTGTGTCACTTCAATTCTTAGTAATGTATTTGATTTTTTTAAGTATTATTTGAACAAATTTAAATAAGTACATCTTTCATTAGTAAAATTTAATATTTAGATAGTTGTATATACTTTAAGCATTGCCTCATTGTAAAAATAATTATTGCACATTAAATTAAAGGTAATGTGATATTTAATCAATGATAAATGATACTGTATAAGTTAATAGTGCACATTTTTATATATATTAAATAAAAATATAGATTTTCTTAAATAAAGTTTAGACTCTTGTAAATAATAATAATAATAATAATAATAATAATAATAATAATAATAATAAAACAGGATTAAGTAGACTAGTTAATCTTAACAAAAAAACTATCAAACATCACTATAAGCACAACAGTCTCATCTTTTTTATGTCTTTCAACATGAAAAAAATATATTGCAGATAAATATTAATATTAACATGATAAAAGATATACATTTTATTATGAAATTATATATTTATTTTTATATAAAATATATACTTATCTTTTAAAATGTTTATATATAAAAAGAGGATTTTAAGGATGACTATAAAATAATATGAGGGTCTGAATTACCCACGTCCCATGAATATGTTACAAAGCCTCAACCTTCCTGAATTTACCAAATTTAAGGGAATAAACCTTGACAATGATTTCACATTTGGATTCAACGACCCCAGCAACCTAATTAAAAGGTGCATCAATCACATGCACCATCAGAATTAAATTAACTTGAGGACCCATATTACCTAAGTTACTAACAATTTATTCATGCATGTGCATATCTTAACTCACAAATACTAGCTTAATTAATATATACACCTAAACTATATTCTAATCAACCCCATTCTCAAATTTCTACTTTTTTTCATTCTTCTACCCTATATTATTTGCATTATATATAAAGTACCACTACTTGTCTTCACCCCTATTACTCCATCAAAGTGAATATATATTGAATTTATAAGCTTATTTTATAAATATATATAACTTTCATATACCTACATTTACTTCATTTGTTTTAATTTAATATCATTCTAACAAATTCTCTTTTTTTTTTTATGTTATATTACAAAATAGAAAATAAAAAAGTAACTTTATTCTAATAATATAATGGTAGGGTCTAAAAAGGTATGCTTAGAATTTATTTTTAAATCACATGAACTTAAACTGTTGCAAAAAAATCAGTATCCGTTTCAGATTACTACATTTTTCACATTTATATGCCTACGAATAAATTTTTTTAATCTTGTAATAATCATAGGAAAACACAATCTATATCCATATATTGCCAGAAATATGTTAAGATCATAACTTCCAACAAAAACATTCTTCCAGATTTCTTTAAAGAGAATATATATTTGGTACCGATTATGTACAATAGTTTACAATAATAAGAGAAAATGTTTAAAAACAAATCAGTTAATGTATATCACGTATACGTCGATCATTAATGTAACTGACGAGAAAAATATATACATTAATTATACTATCTAACCAAAATGAAAAAAAAAAAACTTTTTAAATTAGTTATACTCTCTAATGTAGAATGTCACTTTCTATATTGATTTAAAATATCCTTATTTTCTATTTTAATCACTATAAATGTATAAATAATTTATATAATAAAAAGTAAAATTAGCTACTTCTATACCTCTAATCCACAAAAGAAACAATGTTGTCTTTTACCTCATTAAATTTAATTAATTTTGTAATTGCTTATATAAAAAAAATTAATTTTGTAATTCTTGTAAGTATTTTATTAAATAGAAAATAGTGTAACTAAAAGTTAGATATTAATTAAAGTTAAAATGGTTATCAAAAGGTAATTAAAATGTGTTTATTTTGGGAAAATAAAATAGGCTTTTTATTACTTTTAAACGAGAAGGAAGAGAGTAATCATTTTAGGGTTTGAATGGTGGAGGTGGCATTAATAAGCTATTTGGTATTATAAAATTAACATGCAGATAATAAAAAGTCTTCCAATTATATAATATTTACTCATCTATATTTCTAATTTTGTGTGGGTCACTTTCTTCACACAGGGAGTTTTGACCTTAGCATAGCACTTTCTCGTAGGACAAAAGCAACGGTTGAAGCAAAATACTGGATTCAATTGCATGCAAATAATACACGTACCTTTTTTCTTTCTTCTTTTTGACTCTTTTTTCTATTATAGGATTGTGTGTGCGGGAGTAAAATGTAGATGATTAAAAAAAAAATCAGAATTTTTAAACAGCTGAGATGTGAATGGAACAATAATAAATGTACGTAATGATCTAAAATTGACAAAATAAAACACCATAATTTTGTGTTCTTGATAGTAGGTGAGGTGGTGCGAAATCCAGGGCTTTCCTCTCTTTACTACTCTCTCTCTTTCTCTCTTTCATTTCTTCTCTGTTGTTTTCTCTGTCTGATTCTCTGCTTATTCTGAAAATGGATCTCTGACTCAACTTCCTTCGTTCTTCTTCTTCTTCTTCTTCTTCTTTTTTATGTTTTTTTTTTGCTCTTTTCGCTCCGCGGCTCAAAACGTCGCGTTTTATTGGGACGGAAACTTTGCAATTTCCGGGTAATGCCTTTACATTTTTAATTTTTTAAATTTCTCTGCGGTTATTGGATTGCGTGCACTTTAGTATTCCCATATCTAGTTTCTGTTTTGGTTGTATGCGTCTACAACTCGAGATTAAGGACGGTGGCTGTTTAGGATTCGAGTCTCGAGGTTAAGAATTGTAGGAGGTGAAATCAGGGATTGTTTGGGTGCGGTTGTGACGATTCCCGGCGAATTGGTGACCGGTGCAATTGAGAAGGTTTATGGTTTGGGCGTGATGGCTTCGAATCCTCCATTTCATGTGGAGGATCAGACGGACGAGGATTTTTTCGATAAATTGGTGGAGGATGACAATGAACCTGTTAATTCTGGCCATGTTGATGAAGGTAATGATAATTCTGATCACGTGAAAGCGTTCGCGAATTTAGGAATCAATGATGACGCAGGAGAATGTGGGATTAAGCACAAACAGGAAGATGGGGACGAAGGTGGTGGAAATGCTCAAGAGGGCGATTTTTTGCCGTCCAAAAGTTCATTTGGGGGTGATAATGCGATGGATCATGTTGATTATGGGACGGGTTTAGAGAATGCATCAGTTTCCGATGTGAGAAAGAGTAATGGAACCCACAATTCCGAGGTTAAGGAGGTGGGTTGGAATTCTTTTATTGTTGATTCAAATGGAGATGTTGGATTTGGATCGTATTCTGACTTTTTCGGTGAATTGGTAGATGAATCTGGCAAAGCATGTAATGATTCTAAAAATGAGGTGAAACTTGGTAATGAAATTCAAAATGATGGGTTACATTCTTTAGTTAATTATGGGCCATGTCAAGGGGGTCAAGGTTATGATACATCTCAGGGAAATAACACAAATGGGCAAGATCTGAGTAGCAGTCAGTATTGGGAGAATCTTTATCCTGGATGGAAGTATGATCAGAACACTGGGCAATGGTATATAGTAGATGGCCATAATGCTAATCAGGGAAGCTCTAAGGACAATGCAGCTGCTTCTGATGCTACATCTGAGGTTTCCTATATGCCACAAACTGAGCAATCTGTTGTTGGAACTTTAGCTGTGACTAACACAACTGAAAGTGTATCATGCTGGAATCAGACTTCGCAAAGAAATAATGGGTATCCCGAACATATGGTTTTCGATCCTCTGTATCCTGGTTGGTATTATGACACGATTACCCAGGAATGGCGCTCTTTAGAAACTTACCATTCATTTATTCAATCCACCGGTCATGGAATTGAAAATGGGCATGCTTCTACCGAAAAAATTTTGCCCAATGATGACAGTTTATATAGAGAGTATGGTCAAGATGGCAATTATGGGTCACTAGCCGTTGGTACTCAAACTACAGAAGACAAGTGGAGTGGCTCATATGGATTTAACCATCCCCAGGGTCTAGACACATACGCAACTGATATTACTACTAGAAATGAGGATACTGCAACTGCTGGTGGAAACGGACAATTTGGCCATTCTTTTGGTTCAAGTAGTTCTGTAAACAATGATCAACAAAATAATTCTGCCTCATTTGGAACAGTCCCTTTGTACAATAAAGTGAACCATGATCATGGTTTGGCTAATGGAACGCTTGAACCACAAAGCTTTGCCCCTAGTGGGAAAGTTGTTCAACATTTCAATTATTCAAATATGCAGTTTGATGAACCAAATAATTTCTCAAATGAATATGCTCAAAGTCAGAAGCCCTTCAGTTACTCCCAGGCCCAGCCATCTTTCCAGGATAGGCATCAGTCGCGTGCCCCTCATGTTGAAAGATCATCAGCTGGACGTCCTCCTCATCCCTTAGTAACCTTTGGATTTGGTGGCAAACTTGTTATAATGAAAGATTCTAGTTTTTCAAGCTCATCATATGGAAGCCAGGTTAACTCTTGATTCATGTTTCCAGTTTTGATCGATGCTTCATTTGATTTTTGTAATAATTAACACTGCGCATTCACTTTTATCTGAAGACTTTTGTCCAAGGATCTGTTTGTGTGTTAAACTTGATGGAAGTTGTCAATGGAATTATTGATTCTTCAAGCATTGGAAATGGCGCTGGTGATTATTTCCGTGCTCTCTGTCAGCAATCTTTCCCCGGTCCATTGGTTGGTGGGAGTTTTGGAAGTAAAGAATTGTACAAATGGATAGATGAGAGGATTGCAAATTGTGGATCAACTGACATGGATTATAAGAAATGTGAAAGGTTGAGACTCCTTCTCTCCTTGCTCAGAATAGCCTGTCAACAGTATGGAAAACTACGTTCTCCTTTTGGTACAGACACCACACGAAAAGTAAGTTAAATTTATTACCATTCAAATTCTATTCTATCACATCGTTCATTTAATTTCCTGATCTCTGCAAGATTGAGAAAAGTTTTTTGAAGAGTTGTGTCGTGCGTTAGGCGCTCAACTTTGTGAATTATATATTTATTCATCACCTAATATTTAATTACTTTACATATATGTATTGACCTAAACGAAGAATAGCAAAATAGAAAATCTTATAACTTTCTATTAAAACTAAGAAAATTTATTAATTTGTTCTATTAAAAAAATCTTAAACTACAATAAAAGAAATCAAGAATAATGTTACTTTTAACATACATGATATCTTAGAACTTTCATTCTCTTTCTTTCAAATTATTTATCCTCCCTCACACATCAACTGCAAAAAAATTTTATAATCAACCCATATTTTCATTAAGTTGTACATTTTAGATCTGATTTGGTCTTGATGGGGCCAACTAGCTAACAAAACATTTTACTATGCCTAAAATAATATTTTTAAAATTTTAAAAATCTTAAATTTATAAAAACATAAAAATAAAATATGTATTTATAAAATTTAAGACACATTAATGAAAATAATTTTAATTTTTAGATATAATAATTTGATATATAAACTATAATAAATGTATTTTAATAAATTATAACAAATGTATATAAATTATATACAATAATTTTTAGATAAATATGTATTTTAATACAATAATATTCTTTTTTTTAATATCAGTTTTATTTTGAAAATAAAATAGCCGACTTAAGTCATTTGATTACCGAGAGAACTAAAATTTATTTGAATTAATTTAAATTACAATTTTTTTTCTAAACTCAATCCATTTTACTTATTTTTGGATCAGATAGTCAAGCTCTGATAACTCTATTTCGTATTTATGTGCCATAGCGATAATCAAGATAAAAAAGGTTGCATATATATTATTAATTAAGATCAATTACTTCTTTCTTCTTAAAGTGCCATTCATGTAGTTTGCAAGTTTGGTAAAATTTCTGAATTTTGTGATCAGATTGAGATAGATAAATAATATATTGACTTCTTTCTTCAGCAAAAATGGAGAAAGACTTCTTTGAATTATCATAATTTAATTATATTATAAGAGTCGATTCGTTATAGTAAAAAATAATTTACCTACTTGTTTTCCTATATTATAAATCCTAATTGACTCTAAATATCAGATAACTCAAAACAAAATTATTATCTAAAATATATTTATACCTGAAAATTATTGTTGCGATTTTACCTAACATGTCTGTGATGCATAGGAAATAAATAATAATAATAATAATAATAATAATAATAATAATAAAATAAAAAAAAAAATATATATATATATATAAAGAGAGAGAGATTAATGCTCTCTATTAATAACTATTGCTATAAATAAAATTTATAAAATTTATAAAAACAAAATTAAATATTAACGTAAAAATAATATTATGCAATATTTAAAAGTAGAAAACTGGTTACGAGCACCAAGGAGAAAAAAATGCTCAACTTGCCATTCTTCTTCCCCCTAATGTATTTTTGAAGATAGAAAAAAACAACACAATTTTCACTACTGAGTGCTAAAGTAAATGGGGGGAAATAATAAAATATTTGATAACACTAACTCACTCAGCTCCCCCTTACACCTAAACATTTTAATGAATAAAACTTATTATATATTTTATTTGTTTTAAGCTTTGATTAAACATAAAATATATAAAACATAATACTTTTTATTTTTTTGTAAATGTGAAACTGAAAATCTGAAACAATGGGTGCAGCAAAAGGAAGGGGGCAAGATGACAATTTAGAACGGGATGAATATATTATGTTGGTGTATTAATTCATATGCTGAGAACATTTTGTGGGTTAGGGGGGTGGCTGCCCCTGTTTCAATACATGGGTCCATCCCTGGATGTTGATAACACATGCACCTTTGGAGTGGTTATTAAAGTGTAACTGTTTTCCAAAATGGTTGTTGTGCCATATTATCTCCTTAGTTCGAAAGTGTCATGCTTGTGAGCAACCCTGTGAAGTTAAATGCTCAATCATATTTCTTTTGCTTGACAAGGAAATAGTTGTTATGGGTTTGGTATCAGTTAGAAAAATAGAAAAGAGACTTGGGAAAATTGAGTGAATGTTATATTGTATTTGACACATGAACTACAACATTTGATATTTCAATTTTTATTTTTAGCGAAATAGTTTATCATTATTACATGACTTTACACTACTGAAACTTCAAATTGATGTTTCATATATTTGTTAGGTTTTCACAACCCTTCATCTTTTTGCACTACCTCATAACTTCTTTTTTTAACCATCATTTCTAACTGTATTTGTTGTACCTTCTTTAGCACGAGAAGGAAAACTTTGTCTAAATAGGACACTGGAAATATATAATAATAATCTGTGGTCGTTCTAACCTGACTGGTAGTTTTGATTCAATTATATTACTACATTAATCCATTTCCTCACATGTTCACCTCCAGATTTGGTGACCTACTATGCTTATATTTTATACAGGAAAATGATACTCCTGAGGCAGCAGTTGCAAAGCTTTTTGCATCTACCAAGACGAGTGGCAAGGAGTTCACTCCATATGGTGTGCTAAGTCACTGCCTGCAAAATTTACCTTCTGAAGCTCAAATGCGGGTTTGTATAAGTTAACTGATGACAAACCCTCTATGATGTTTAAATATGCACATTTTATTGATTTTTATTTTGATTTAGGCAACGGCATCTGAGGTACAAAACCTTCTTGTCTCTGGGAAAAAGAAGGAGGCTTTGCAGTATGCACAAGAAGGTCAATTGTGGGGACCTGCACTTGTTCTTGCTTCACAACTTAGTGATCAGGTTAGCTCCCATTTTTCTGGTGTTGAATACTGTATTAAACTATTGATCCTGAAATATCTGAATTAAATTGTCCCTTATGTCTCTTATAGTCCTTTTTTTAACGAGCTTTTATTGTGAAATGAACTTGGTACATTTTTGTACTGCAGTTCTATGTTGAGACGGTGAAGCAAATGGCACTGCGTCAGCTCGTTTCAGGATCACCTTTGCGTACATTATGCCTTCTAATCGCTGGGCAGCCAGCTGACGTTTTCTCTTCTGGCAGCTCAGTTAGTGGGGATCCTAGTGCTTTTAATATGCCTCAGCAGCCTACACAGGTGATCTCAATGGGATGAACTGGTAACCTATGCAAGGGTTATGCACTTCAGTTTTCTTCTTCCAAGTTTCATATTAATGCTTCTTTAATTCAACTTGGAAGCTCATAACTTTGTTATTACTTTGCAATTTTAGTTTGGATCTAATGGCATGCTTTGTGATTGGGAGGAGAATTTGGCTGTAATAACTGCAAACAGAACCAAAGATGACGAACTTGTAATTATTCATCTTGGTGATTGCTTGTGGAGGGAAAGAAGTCAGGTATAGTTCTCAATCTATATTTTTTATTGTTTAGTGATTATGTAGATTTCAATTTTTCTTCTAACTTGGGATTCACATTTTAGATCATTGCTGCACACATATGCTATTTAGTTGCCGAAGCGAACTTCGAGTCTTACTCAGATAGTGCAAGGCTCTGTCTAATTGGAGCAGATCACTGGAAATTTCCTCGAACTTACTCTAGTCCAGAGGCTATCCAGGTTCATTGAAATATCTTTTAATTCTTAGACTTTTTCTTGAACAAAATTTGTTTGTTTTATTGCATATGCACGAACATGTTTTGAGTTTATTTCTCCGAAAATGTAATATACACTGACTATTTGCTGAGTACCAATTCACGGTCACCCCAAAAAGTTAAATACACACATTCAACTTCTTTCACTCTCCTTTTTTTATTATAAAACTAATTTATCATTTTAAAATTTAAATACAAATAAATAAATAATGAATGTTAGGTGGGTGTTAAACTAATTTATCATTCTTAAATTTAAATAAAAAAGGGGAAATAATGGAAGTTAGATGGGTGTTTAGAACTCATGAGTGTATACATCAAACATTTTCCATTTGGCAACCCTTCCTGTGTCTATTTGACTTTTCTGGTTCCCAATTGCTTAATTTTCTAGGATTTTGACAATGTTCAAATTGGACCTTGCATTACATGCTTAAGAAGATTGCATGCACATTTTTAAAACCTTGCATGTATTACCTCTTTTGTCCAAGGTTTATCAATGTAGAATGTGTCATTTTTAAAACCTTGTGTTCTGTAAGGTTTTGAAATTACCTGTCCGCGTAAAATTCATGTGCCTTAGCATTTCTTTCTCTGTAATAAAAGTGAGAAAATAGCCCATGTATGCAATGACAGTATTCAATCTCGAACTACCATATATGGTAGATTGTTGACTTTTATAATAATTAATTTAAAAGTCATATTAATGATGAATTCTAATTGAAAATGTAAAGTATATAACATTTTATATTGACGAATTATAATTGACAATTTAAACTATAAAAGATTTTACATTTATAGTGCATGACCATTAAATTCAAAATATTATATTAAATATGATACAATTACTCGTAAGATGTATTGGAAGTACTCGAAAGTTATCTAACCCTAACGGTTATTTGAACAGAGGACTGAATTATATGAATATTCGAAGGTGCTTGGAAACTCTCAGTTTATTTTGCTTCCATTTCAGCCATATAAGCTTATTTATGCATATATGCTAGCTGAAGTGGGAAAGGTTTCAGACTCGTTGAAGTAAGTGCATAGAATATTATTTTGTACATTATTATGCTTTGTCTAATCTGCCTTATTGTTATTATGTGACATTAGGTACTGCCAAGCAGTACTGAAATCCTTAAAAACTGGTCGTGCACCAGAAGTAGAAACATGGAAGCAGATGGCATTGTCTCTTGAAGAAAGGATTAGAACCCACCAACAGGTACTTCGTTGTATTTGACTTTCAGCCTTCATTATTTTGACAGTTCTGTTATTTATCCTCTTAATTAACAATGTGTTCAGGGTGGGTATGCCGCAAATTTGGCACCTGCAAAATTAGTGGGCAAATTGCTCAACTTTTTTGATAGTACTGCACATCGAGTTGTGGGTGGTTTACCACCACCCGTTCCATCATCATCATCATCATCTCAAGGAACTGTTCATGGAAATGGACAACATCACCAGCCTATTGCAAACAGAGTATCGAATAGCCAATCAACAATGGCAATGTCATCCTTAGTTCCATCCGCTTCAATGGAACCTATCAGTGATTGGACTGCTGACAATAATAGAACATCAAAACCTAATAGAAGTGTTTCAGAGCCAGACTTTGGTAGAAGCCCTCGCCAGGTGTGTGATTATTATTAAGGATGTACTTCGAAAATTTCTTGCTTCATGTGTTTGCTTTTGTTTAGTTTTAGTTGATGTTTTTATTGGGAAAAATGGTTGATTCATCCCAGGGAACCTCACCTGACAGTCAAGGAAAAACATCAGGGGGTACATCTCGCTTTTCTCGTTTTGGTTTTGGCTCACAACTTTTACAAAAGACAGTGGGACTAGTTTTGAGACCTCGCCCTGGTCGACAGGTATTATTAGTTTTTTTATGTTCCATTGTTTTATTTTCTTTAGTTTCAACACTACTTTTGACTGTGCAAACTCAAATGGTTCTTGTTTCTGCTCTTTATGGAGGCTAAATTGGGTGAAAAGAACAAGTTCTATTACGATGAAAAACTGAAAAGATGGGTAGAGGAAGGTGTTGAACCTCCACCTGAAGAAACTGCATTACCACCTCCTCCAAAGACTGCTGTTGTCCAGAATGGTTCAACTGAATACAGCTTGAAATCTACACTGAAGAACGGAGGATTACCTTCTAATGAGGGTTATGATTTAAAAACCTCGAGTCATGAACATACTGCAGGAATTCCACCAATACCACCTAGCACTAGTCAATTCTCTGCCCGAAGTCGCGTCGGTGTTCGATCAAGGTAACATAGTCATAGTCTTGTTATATCATGTTCTTGTAGGAACATAGCAAAGGTCAACTTTATTTATACTAGTGGAACTTTAATGAAACTTTTGTGGTCGATACAGGTACGTTGACACGTTCAACCGAGGTACTGGAAGCTCTGCAGAATTGTTTCAGTCACCATCTATCAAACCTGCCCTTGCTGCCAATCCAAAGTTTTTTATTCCTGCTCACACACCACCATCAAGTGAGCAGACAATGGAAGCTATAACAGAAAGTAAACATGAAGATAGTTTAACTAATGAAAATCCTTCAACATCGTACCAATCGCCTGAACTTTTACAGCCACCATCGGCCAGGCAAAGATTTCCAAGTATGGGTAACGTCTCTTTCCAAGAAATAGTGACGAATGACAGCAACTCTCAAGTACCTCATTCACGGCGAACAGCTTCATGGGGGGGGACTATTGGTGATTTATTTAGTCCCACTGAAATGGGGGAAAATAAACCTCCTGGGGAAGCTTTGGGAATGCCACCATCAACATTTGTGCCCAATGAGTTTTCTTCAATGCGTAAACCTGTAAGGAGTGCGAGTGGGAGTTTTGGAGATCTTCATGAGGTTCAACTTTGAGCAGATAATTAAGCTGTAAATATCAAATTTTGTTTATGGTCATCATCAGAGTAGTTGGGACATCCCTGTTGCATTTCTCTCTGGTTCTAAATGTTGGTATACATCAGGTGAAGTTCATAAAGAGAAAAAGAACAATGTTCCATGGGTCCTTTTTCTTCCCACCAGTTGTTTTACTTTCAATGCCAAGGGATTTACCATGTAGGTGAGTATGAGTAGTACATCTCATTTGTTCATTTTATTAAACAACAAAACAGTGGCCCTCAAGGAAAAAGGGCCTAACACATTCAAAGAGAAAGAATAGTTTATGGAATTGTCAAATATCTAGTCCTTTTTGTAATTGTTTCATTTATGAAATGAAATATAATTTAATGATAATTGTGGTGGTTTTTTAAGTAAATCTTGCTTTCATAATGCTAAGGATTGCGTTTGTTTTATGTTACTTATGAAAGGATTAAAATTATATAATGTGTTGCAACGAAATGAATGAATAGAATGTTTTTGGTGAGAAGAGATTGGGGGAGTTTTTTTTTTTTTTTTACTTTATTTTGTTCGAAAATATTGAAGGGAGAAATAATAGAGTCAAAATTTCTTCCTTCTATTTATCTTCCCTCCCATATTCAGAAGACATATAAAGTGTTTCATAATTTTAAAATTATATTAAATTGGGTTATAATCTTATTTTTATCTTATATTTTATTATATAAAGAATAAAACGATAAATATAACAAAATTATTCTCATTTTCATAATTTATTTTATTTATTTAATCTAACAACTTATCTTAATTCATGGATTACAATAAAATTATTAGATTGCAATATTTGTATAAGTCAAGCATTTCTGTTATTATTTTGTTTTACTTTCGTTATAACAACCCTCATTACAACTGTTAGTATATTTTATATAAAGACTTTTTACACGTTAATACAAAGTGCAATTCCACAATCATTTTATCTCATTTCTCTTATGCTTGTTCTAACAGAAGTGGTATCTAGAGCCTCGGTTTTATTCCGGGACGTTGGCGCTTAGGAAGTTATGATTGCAGAAGTGGTTCAAGGTGCTTGAATCAGTGTCAATCAAGATTCAGTTTCTTGATTGTGTATTGAAGGAAGAAGAATGGTCGGAGGTGACTATCACATTCCCTCATCAAATCTCCCAATCTTGAATGAGAAAAATTGGGATAGATGGAGTACCCAGATGAAGGTTTTGTTCAGATTTCAGGTTGTCAGTGATGTAGTTGAAACAGACCAGGTGGTTGCTTCCGATTCGGCAGAGGCGCAAAAGGCGATACTGGCGAAGAAGGATAGCAAGGCATTGTTTCTTATTCATCAATGTCTTGATGACGTTCATTTTGAGAATATTCAAAATGCGAACACTGCGAATGAAGCCTAGGACATTCTGATTAGAAGTCACACCGGAGGAGATAAGATCAAGAAAGTAAAACTTCAAACCCTAAGGAGGTAGTATGAGTTACTACAAATGGAAGATGGAGATAAAATCAATGAATACGTCAATAAGGTACTCACGATAACCCATCAAATGAAGGGTTGTGGAGAGACAATCTCTGATCTGATGGTTATTGAAAAGATCATGAGATCGTTACCGCAGAAATTCGATTTTATCGTTGTAGCGATTGAAGAATCGAAAGACTTATCACAAATGAAGATTGAGGAACTTCAGAGCTCCTTGGAGGCACATGAGATGCGACTGGTGGACAGGAATGCTGGAAGAAACACAGAGCAGGCCTTGAAAACACATCATTTCAAGAATGGTGACAGAAATAAGAAAAAGTGGAAAGGAAAAGAAGCAAAGAGAGAATGGAAGTCAGATAAAGTTGTTCATAACCAGAGTGATAAGTCAGACACAACTGAGAAGAATGGAAAGACAGAGAAGTATCAAAAAGAAAAAAAAATAAACAGAGTATCAAATGCTTCAAATGTCACAAGATGTGTCATTATGCCTCTGAATGCAAAGCAGACAAGAAAAAGAAGAAATATCAAGAAAAGGAAGCACATGTGGCAAAAGAAGATTTTGATTCTTCTGATTATTTAGAACCATTAACCCTGATGGTGACCACTACAGTAGGAAGCTCAAACGTGCAAACTTATCCCCGCTAACAGTTTCAATGAAAATTCCCAATTGTGCTTACTAAGTATATTAAATAGATTGGGTTTTGCAAATAAGAGTTGAATTGAAATTAAATGACAAAGAACTATAAATTATTGAGAAAATATCAATTAAAGGTAATTAGGATTGACTTCCTTCCGTATCCCTCTTTTGTAATGGCTATGTCACTTAAGAACGTCAATTAACCTAACAATGTTGATGTCACCTACTCAAAGCATCCATGTTGATTCCTCACACATGAAATTCATAAGAAAACCTAATAAATGTTGATTCCTCACACAATTAAGAGATTTTCCAGTATTAGGGTTAGGGTATTAAGTAATTGATACATTCATTCCATTCCTGGAAATTAACGTAACAAATATTCTTACTGTGATCTAGGGTTCAAGATATATTTTCCAATCATACCTCGAACAATCAAGAATAAATCATTCCAAATCATAAAGGATAAGAATAACAACATCAAAGCATAGATTAATATCTCAAAATATCACCATGATACAAAAGAGTTCAAAGGAAGTGCACCGTATCCTAAGAGAATGAAGTTAGTCACTCATGTTGGCCATTACAATGCTCTAATTGATGAAGAAGTGAAGAATTAATGAAGATTAGACGAAACCCTAACAGTAGTCGTGCCTCCTCTTCTCCAAGACTGTTTATTTTTCTCAAAACATAACTTATCTTTTTATAAGAGAATTTGGGTCGGGTCTCGCATCTTTCATTCGCTTAAGTGTTGTTCTTTCTTTTAATTTTACTCCAATTATGCTGACAATTGTGTTCCTTACTCTTGTATCAAGGTATTCTCGAATTCATCCTATATTGGTAGAAAAATATATTAGAATTAACATAAGTTAAGTGGTTTCATAACAATTAAAGGCATAATTATATCAACTTTTTACCACTTAACAACTCCCCCCAACCTAGAATCTTGTTTGTCCCAAGCAAAGTAATTTTTCCAAAACAAAACCATCGCCTATTATCACTTTCTCTTCCAGAACCACACATAAAAAATTTTAGAGGTGATGCTCACAACTCTAAATGAAAATAGTGTTAGAATCGCGCAGCGGAATGTTCGCGTGGTCGGACAAAAACCAAGAGGGGGGGTGAATTGGTTTCTTAATAAAAATTAGGTTTTCAAAATTTTCCCCAAATTTTACCGATTAAAAACTGCGTAAATGTAAATAGAGAAGAGTAGAGAAGATTACACAGTAGGTTTATACTGGTTCGGATCAAAAGACCCTACGTCCAGTTGCTAATCACTCAAAAGAGGATTAACGTTGTCACTAAGAACAAATTGTTACAAACAGTTTACAAATCAAAAAGATAAAGTAAAGACAACACCTCTCTTGAAATCCACAAGAGATGAAGAACAGTTTTTCCCAGAGACGGCACAACACACAATCCACTAAGAACTCCACTTAGTGATTCTTATCGCTTCTAGCCCACACCAGGTTCCAAAAGCCCCCTTTCCTTGCAACAAACAGTTCTCTGGCACTCACAACACTTAACTTTTGTATGGAAAGAGTTGTTCTTATTTTTCTGAGTGCCAAAGCAGAGTTTAAGTAGGGAAATTAGGGTTTATTAATTGGGGATTTCGAAACTAGGGTTCTTGGTAATTGGGTTTTCGAAAATAGGGTTAATTTGAAATTTAAAATGAAAAACAGACTGAAATAATCGATTATTTGGAGTGATAATCGATTAAAACAGAGCCAAATATGACAGAACCCAAACCTCTCGGAATAATCGATTATTTGGTGAAATAATCGATTATCTCAGTACGAACAAGTACAAAACAATCGATTATTTTGTTGTTTTAATCGATTAAAACAGTGAGTTTGTATAGAAAGTGTTTTCTCACTGTTTTAATCGATTATTTACCTATATAATCGATTAAAGCCGAGCCTAAATGATAAATTTGAGCTTTTTGAAGCTTCTAAGTTACGGACTATGTACCGGCTATCTTAGACTCTAAAAATACAGACTCAATCTTAAATAAAACAGAGTTATTACAATACAATTATCACCAATCTTCAATCTTCAATATTCTAAGTCTTTAGTTCTTGGATCATCATCAAAATCCATTCTTCATATTCATCAAGTGCAACATCAAGTCCTTGAATTGTCAACAATCTCCCCTTTTTGATGATGATCAAAATTTTCTTTTAAAGCCCTTTGTAATAACCTTTTTTATCTCGTCATACTAACAAACACATTAAACATACCAGATAAAATTTAAAATTGAATCATAGGCTTTAAATTTTTCTCCCCTATTTTGATTATAATCAAAAAGAACTCTGCAACATCAATCATAAGAGCTCCCCCTCAAAATATGCATAAGTTAGAGAAAGCTCCCCCTCAATCATAGCATGAAAGAAACATCAAATTTTATTTCACAATCATTCAACCATTACAACATCAAGACAATAACAAAAGAAAATACATTGATTCTCTCTATATCAGACAGTTTTAATCGATTATTTCTAGCAAATAATCGATTGTCAGAGGCATTTAATCGATTATATCACGAAATAATCGATTATTCCAGAGGAGAATACCCTGTTTTGGACGTTTTGAGAAAAAATAATCGATTATTACTTCCAGTAATCGATTATTCCAGAGGCTATATCAAGTTTTTAAGGTTTTTACACATTATAACCTATGAATATCCTACAACACGAATTTTAACATAACAATCATCCAAAAACAGTCAAATTAAGCAGAATTTAAGCTATTTCTAATATCCCTAAGTCTCTTCTAAGATCATAGAATCTATCCTTTGGTAGAGGCTTAGTAAATATATCTGCTAATTGACGTTTAGTGTCTACATACTCTATCTTACAGTTTCCTTTGCTGATATTATCTCTTAAAAAGTGA